CCTCAGTTCCTGTGGATATAGTCACCTCCTCTTGGAACATAACCTCCCCCCCCTTTCACTACCATGCTTCTGCTGATGAAAAACAGTTCATGCAGTTTACAATTTACTTCCATTACACTAAAATGTCCACTCTGGGCCATATGCCATCATAAAATAAAATATATTGAAACTGTGCTTTACAAATTAATTTAAATATTGTCTCTGGCTTTTAGAAAAGGGTGAATTATGCACCCTCTGCACCTTCTTCAGCATACATCCACCCCTCATTCTACCTAACTGGGTAGCTGGCTGGCAAGTGACAAGGCTGACAGACGAGCTCTGTTGGTGGATTAGCATCATGATGGTGGGGAGCACAGCTTCCTAGTGGTGTCAGCCATCATGATACCAGCTACAGGTCTAATGAGGGAGACTGCCGCCTCGGCATTCCGTCCCTAGTGTCAGGAATTGGACGACAAATCAGCAGTGGATCACGGGCACACCACAAATGATATGTTGACAAATGCAGATATTTCACTTTTAATTGACACTAAGAGACAGAGATGATCCGGCTGCCACGGCTTCTGAGGAGACAAGGACAAGACAAGATGGGAGAGAGACATGGAGAGGGAGAGAGAAAGCAGTGGGGGGGGTAGGAGGAGTGTTGGAGAAAAGAATATGTTGGAGTAGGCCATGGAACATGTTTAATGTTTGTGTAGGTGTCATTTTTTTTCTAAAGGATCATGGTTGAAGAGGAGAAAGAGGGGAGGGAAGGATTAGAGGTGTGGTTTTCTGAGACTTGTGTGTGCTGACAGCAGCTGTATTATCCAACTATCTCAAAGCAAAGTGACTCCTTTAAACCCTGACAACATGGACTATTCCTTTTTCCAGGTAAGCTTTCTTTGAAAACTTACAGGAACAAGCTCCATTAGAAATGATAAAATTTGTGTCATTTGCTAATATTTCCATACCACTAATTTATATTTTTAAAAACTTTTCTCTAATTGCTACATGATATAGTATTTATGGTATATGGTGTAGGGACTTTGCCAAACTTATGCACTTTTTCCACGGGCTCTACTCTGGCCACCTCCACTCCACTCAGCTGTTTTGCGACTGTTTCCATTACTGGCTTTTTCGGTAGCTGCTTGTCAGCAGGTCCTATCGGGGCTTAGCAGGGCCGTAATGGAACGTGAGCAGACTGCTGTTCATTGAGGGGCCATGAGTGTGGTCAGCCATATGTCAGAAACATGAGAAAGTATTTGACGAGATAGCGAAGAGAATGACAAGCCACGGATTTTACAGAATGCCGCAGTGTTGGGAAAAGCTAAAAAAAACTCGAGAGCAACTACAAAAATATTAAGGGCCACACTAGCCGGAGCGGGTCAAACCGAAAGCTGTGGCAGTGGTTCGACATCATGGATGCTATTTATCGCCATTGTTCTGTGAGTTGTGGGTGGAAGGTTGGTCTGGACTCCAGAAACTCACTGTTTTAAGAGGACATGACGTGCGACTTTGAGTGTTAATTAATTACTTAAATTGTGATTTTCTGGATTTTTGTTTTAGATTCCATCACTCAGAGTTGAAGATTACCCATAATAAAAATTAAAGACTTTTACATGCTTTGCAAGTCAGAAAATCTGCAAACTCGGCAGTGTATCAAATACTTTTTCTCTCCACTGGAAGAACATAAAGGTTACTAAACAAAACATTTCAGTTAGATGCATTCATTCAACATACTGTCAGTTACCTTCTTTCCAAAGCAAAGCCTAAATCTTTTTTTTTTTTATTTCATCCTTGTCCCTTAAAGTTTGTACAACTAAAGATCCAGTCTATTGACTGACTGATTTGCACACCCTTCCATATCCGGTGCCAACCAGACCTGGTGTCTCTGTCGGGAACTGTGTGTGACCTGGAGCTCCAACTGGGTCCAAATGGGCAGCTGTTAAAAGCACGTCCTCAGCTAGTGTTGCGGGTGGAATGATGGATGATTTTCTCTGCAGTTTGTGAGTCCTTGGTGCCCATTGGGTATTTTCCTTAAAAATGTTCTCTCTCTCTGACCGTGGAATTACAATCCTGCAGCCTCTTGTGATTAATCCATTAACTTCTGATAGCTCGTTCTTTACATTCATGTCTGTTCTGATATTCAGTGGTACATTGCCATTGTATTCAGGGCAACCTGTTCTGATGTAGCTGATAACTGTTTGTAGTTCATTGTCTACTGAGCATACCATTTTAATGCTCTCCATTTTAGATGGGGAAGCTGGAATGCCTTGAAGTATAGCAGTGACATAACATGACACCTCACTGAGCATTTCAGTTTCTTCCTCAGTGCAGATCTGATGGCCCCTGGACAGGGCTGTGGCAACAATGAGGGTTTTCCCTGGCACATAGCCTCTGGTGAGTACCTCATGAGTCGCATCAGGAGGCACTGACACCTTAGTGGAAAAGTGTTGAGGCTTCCATTGTTGACCAGTGACACCAATGGTCTGTGGTCTGTCTCCAGCCTGAACTTTTACAGGCCACACAAGTATTTATCAAACCTTTCACAGGCCCACATGCTGGCCAAACACTCCCTCTCAATCTGGGCATATTATCTTTCAGCCTCCGAGAGGCGCCTAGAACTGTAAGCCACTGGTCTCCATACTTCACCATGGAGCTGAAGCAGCATGGCTCCCGGTCCGTAGCTACTGTCATCTGCAGACACTGCTGTGGGTTTGGTGATATCATGAAATGCATCCTTTTAATGTTTTCAGCAGCTGACTGAACATCATTGTTCTTTACCATTTTTTTATAAAGGCTAACACATTGTGGCTAGAGAGGGGATGGATCTTCCCACATAGTTGACCATACCCAGCCTCTACCTTTTACTGGGTATGGCTTGACCCCTGACGGGTCCATGAGGTGATCCAGGAGGCATAGCTGTCTCTATCTGAAGGAACATTTTTCTTTTTTAAGTTTAGGGCCCACTGTCTGTATGTGTTATAGCACCTACTCAAGTTGGGTATCATGCTGTTCCCTTGTGGTCCCATAAACAAGCATGCCATCCATAAAGACTTTACCACCTTCAGTGTTTCCAGCATTTGCGCTGGGATATCTCTGGTGCGCTTGTTATGCTATAATGTAGTCTTTTGAAACAGTACCTGCCAAAGGGAGTTATAAATCTGGTAAGTTTACAGCTGTCCAGTTATAGAGGAATCTGCCAGAATTCACTGGCAGCATCAAGAGAAGAAAATACAGTTGCTCCTCTTAGTTTGGAGATGATCGTGTCTGGAGTAGGCAGGATAAAAGTAGTAGGCTTTTTCTGAGTTTTTCTTTAGAACTGGTACCATCGGCGCGCATCATGCTGTAGGCTGTGTCACCTTTTCAACTATGTTGTTGTTCTCCATCCTCTGTGGTTCTTCTTTAACTTTCTGCATCATAAAAAAAGGTACGCAACATGCTGTGTGGATGGCATACAACATCCACCAGTGGGCCCACCACCTGCAGGGGGAACCATGAGGGACCGGTGCAAAGTGGATAAGGCTGCTATCGCAGGCAGAGATCTCGATAACCCAGTCCCAAGGTTTAAACTGGGTCTAGGGATGTGGAATGTAACCTCGCTTGAGGGATGTTGACAAAGGAGGAAAAGTCCGGACAAACTTGGGAGCCCCAAGCGTATAGTGAGGGTCTGATGGGAACATCTGGTGGAGCCCTCGGTCAGAAATGTAACTCCCATCTCCAGGAGAGCTTTTCCTGTATCCAGGTGGAGGCTAAGGACATAGAGTCCGAGTGGACTATGTTCTCTACCTCTATTGCCGATGTGGCCGTAAGGTCTGTTGCTGTGGCAATTCCTGAACCCGGTGGTGGACACCAGCAGTAAGCCTATCGGCTTGTGGGACTCCTGAGGCAGTTGACGATTACTGATGCCAAGCTTGCCATGCACCAGGCGGTAGCAGGGGCAAAAACTCAGACATGGGAGAAGTTCAGTGATGCCATGAAGAAGGACTGTCGGTCGGCCTCGAAGCGGTTCTGGTAAACCGTCTGGAGCCTCAAGAGGGGCAAGCAGTGCTTTTCCAAAATTGTTTACAGTGGGAGAGGGGAGCTGCTGACCTAGACAGTGGGCATTATCAGGCAGTGGATGGAGTACTTCAAGGATCTCCTCAGTCCTGCTGTTACGCCTTCTCTGGTGGAACCAGAGACAGAGGACTCCGAGTTGGACTTGTTCACTACCTTGACCAAAGTCACCAAAGTGGTTTAAAAACTCCATGGTGGAAAGGCTTCGGAGGTGGAGGAGATCCACCCTGAGTACAATAGGTCTCTGGATGTTGTGGGCTGTCGTGGATGACACGCCTCTTAAACATCACGATGGCTGGCAGACTGGTTTGGTGCAGGGGGACCCTTTGTCACTAGTCTTGTTCATATCTTTCATAGACAGGATTTCTCTGCACAGCTAAGGGCCAGAGGGGGTTTGGTTTTGGGGACCATTAGATTTCTTCTCTCCTTTTTGTTGATGACATGGCTCTGCTGGCTCTCTCTAGCCATGACCTACAGCATGCATTGGGGCGATTTGCGGCCAAGTGCGAAATGGTGGGGATGAAGATCCGCTCCTCCAAGTCCGAGCCCATGGTTCTCAACCACAAAAGGGCACAGATGCTGCACTGGTCCGCTGTGTTGAAGAGAGAGCTGAGCCAAAAGGCAAACTCTCGATTTTCCACTCGGTCTACATTCCTACCCCCACCTTTGTGCATGTACTTTGGGTCAAGACTGAAAGAATGAGATCCCAGACACAAGCTGCTGAAATGAGCCTCCTCTGCTGGGTTTCACGGGCACTCCGTTAGAGATAGTGTGGTGAGCTCAGCCGTCCGGAAGGAGCTCAGAGTAGAGCCGCTGCCTATCTACATTGAGAGAAGTCAGCTCAGGTGGCTCGGACATCTGCCATCCTCCCTCGCCTCTACCTTGCACAAATGTTTTAAGACTGCTGCAGGAAACCAGAGAAAACCCCAACCATGCATCGAAATAACAACAACAAATCCACACAGAATGGCCCCAACCTAGCTGTGATTTGAACCCATATCTCACTATTTTGGAGGCAGCAACACTGACCACTGTACCACCATGACTCCCAATCTCAATGGTATCCCTGCCAAACATTACTTTTAGCCTGGTTTAACACCAACGGACAAGTAAGTAATGGACTCGATGGTGTCATTTATTTTTCAACACTGTTAAGTAGGAGCTAAAGCTTTACACATGTCAACACAAAACACATTAATATTCACTTAATAGGGCAGCCTGCAGCAAATGGTCATTGGCTGAAGGATTAAAATAGGGGAGATTATACAGAAGTAGAGTGCCAGAATCTCACTGGATGGAGATGTATAGTGTTGCATGCAACACATGTTCTAGAAGATGAAAACATTTGGCTTTTTAAAACGCGGTACATTACAAACTCTGCATTGCATGTACAAGGCAGATTCTATATCTATTAGGTGTTCTCACAACTTTATAGAAATACAGATGGTGAAAATGCTAAAATCATACTAACCTCTACATAAGGGGAATTCGGTTATAGTCCCAGATTTTTATGAGATAGGATTTAAAGTCCAGCGTTTAAGTGTCTTTAAAGGATCAATGAAGTGTTGAGTAACTACAAACCTGTTTTAATGGATATGTGACATCATCAGGATTTTTGTAGTCCAACTGTGGAATGTGCTGGTAATGTCAGTCAAAGCTGGCGGATAGTTTCATTTATCACCCTGCAGACTATTTCTGTACAGAATCGTATCAGTAGATCATTTAACATCTCATGTACAAAAACAATTATTCACAAGGAAAATGGAGTAAAACTTCAAGTCGGTTTTAGATCATAAGAGATATATGTGATGAATAACTTTAAGAGTAGGACTTTAAATAAGTAACACAATACTTTAATAAAATCATATTCAAACATGACCTAGTCTAAAAAAATGTATCTAGACTAATGGAGTTTTAAACGAAAATTCAACATGGAAAACTCATCATTACCTCCAGCTTCGTCTGATTACTCCTCCATGCGGCATGCTGCACCAATCAGCGTCAAGTCCGCATTTCTCCCTGACCAATCATCCTTCAAGGCTCCACTTTAAAAGATCTTCGTCCATGGAACCCTCCGTTCTTCAGCTGAACTTTAAAAATCAGTATCATGTCTGACTTCAAGTCCGATGACTTCGAGTCCCCGCAAGGCCTCTTGCCAGGCCCTTGCCCTCCTCCAACCGTTCCTCCACGAAGGAGCACTCACCTTGATTCTTCTCGTGTTCATCCTTCCCCTTCATCCCAACTCAGGGCGAGCGGAATTTCTCCTGGTTCCGACTTGGACACATCTCAGCTCGCTCAGCTCATCGAGCTCCTACCTCGTGGTTCTCCTTCTGAACCACCTCCACCGTTCACTTCCTCAGGTAAACGCCTCAAGAAAACTGCCAATCCCCCGGCGAAGCTCTACCAATTTTTAAAAACTCTTCTCACAACCCTTCGCTCCGGCCCTTATTCTCCCTACCTAAAATCTCTCCTTTCCAGTGCCTGGCTTCTCGCTTTTTATGGCTTCCTCAGATTAGGTGAATTCACTACCCTTTCTAATTCTTTCGACCCTGCTAAAGACCTATCAATTTCTGACCTTAAGTTTTATTCTGACCACTTTAAAATTCATCTCAAACATTCTAAAGGTAAAGGTCCCTGCAACATTTTCATTGTATGCTTAGATGGCCCATTCTGCCCGTTTCGTGCCATGTTTAAATTGGCTCTTAAACGCCATAAACTCAACCCATCCAGCTTGCCTCTCTTCCTCACCCCTGAAGGAGTTCCCATGACCGCCTCCTGGTTCCTCAAGTATCTGAGACAAATTGTAGTTCAATGCAATCTAACCCCTAGCCAGTTCTCAGGTCATTCATTCAGAATCGGGGCAGCTACTTCAGCTGCGATTCATGGTATCTCATCCATCTCTCTCCAACAACTTGGTCGCTGGTCATCTACTGCTTTCTCTTCATATGTCCGACCAGACTTCAATTCCGTGTTAGCTGCTCAACGGTCTATCAGCTCTTAGGTAAGAGCCCCTGCACTAACTGGTGGTGGTTGGCCTGTCAACCTGGATTTCCTTTATTCATTTGCTGATTTAACTTTGTTTTTAATCCTAGGTCCTCATCCCTCGACATCCATCAGCTGCGATTTGTTTCATCTCCACTCCTATTCTTCTCCGTCTCATTCTCTCTTTTACAGGTATCATCATTAGTTATTTTCTTCTTTCTTTAGAATTTCATCCCTTTACGCTTTGTCAGGCAAAGCCCCATCTACGGCTTGTCAGGCTCTGCCCCATCTACGCCTTGTCAGGCACAGCCCCATCTACGCCTTGTCAGGCTCAACCCCATCTACGCCTTGTCAGGCTCTGCCCCATCTACGCCTTGTCAGGCACAGCCCCATCTACGCCTTGTCAGGCTCAGCCCCATCTACGCCTTGTCAGGCTCTGCCCCATCTACGCCTTGTCAGGCTCTGCCCCATCTACGCCTTGTCAGGCTCAGCCCCATCTACGCCCTGTCAGGCACTGCCCCATCTACGCCTTGTCAGGCTCAGCCCCATCTACGCCTTGTCAGGCTCAGCCCCATCTATGCCTTGTCAGGCTTATCCCCATCTACGCCCTGTCAGGCACTGCCCCATCTACGCCTTGTCAGGCACTAGCCCCATCTACGCCTTGTCAGGCTCTGCCCCATCTACACCTTGTCAGGCTCAGCCCCATCTACGCCTTGTCAGGCACAGCCCTATCTACGCCTTGTCAGTCACACTAATTTATTCCTTCTCTAGGCTCAGAGCGGTATTAATTCTTTTCCTTTCGTCCTTGTTCTTCAGCCCCATCCACGCATTGACATGCACTGCCGTCAACGCCTTGTCAGGCTCACGAACTCAATCCTTATAAATCTCATTAAATTCCCTTCCTTTCTCATTTCCGGCCTCGGCCCCAGCCTCAGGCCTTTTTTTGGGGGGAAGACATCTTTAAATCTAACCCTAAGATGTTCATTCAAGCACATGTCATTCTCAGATTTCACGTCTTCCACTGGGGTCCGAGCGCCAAAGATATAAACATTCACTAATAAACTTTTCTAATTGTATCCCTGTCTTCTCTTTGTGAGTTTTTCCAGGTTGAAATAGAGACAGAATGTACCTGGTAAAATATTTAATAAAATTGCAAAATATTCCTAAACAGTTTAGATGTGTGAAAATGAGTAAAAAAAAAACAGGTTGTAATGCATGGTACTGACTACAGAAGGCAAGAAACTGAGAACCTAGGTGGATAAACTTAAATAACAAAAATATACTATTGGAAATTGGATTTTAGATAGACATCTACAAATGTCTTTCCTAAGTTGGTGGAAATTGTGCTGCATTTCTTTTCCTTGCCCAGTAGAGGGAAGACTCTGACTGTGCCCTGATAGAAAGAAGGATGTCCAAGTGTGTTTTTTTTTTCAGATCCTTGGGCTTTGATCATCATATCAGTTTAAATAACACACCCTCTTGGCTTGCACAGCTGTATGTCTGTGGTTGGTGTTGTACTGTGCTCTGAAGCTTAACGCAGTCACTTGCATTGAGACACACACACACACACACACACACACACACACACACACACACACACAATTGGCCACAGATACATTCATACTGCTGGGCTGATAGTGTGGGTCTAAACAAAAATATAATTGTGTTCATTTGTCAGCCAGCTTTAGATTTTTAATTGGTATTGAAATAAAGGTAACCAGTACTGACTGTATACATTGTCTGATCTATTAAGCTAGCAAAAAGAAAGAAAATTAATAGTTACAAAACATGTTAGCTGAAAGTCTAGGTATACAGATTTAAAGTATACAGAATCAAGACTGGGCTGAATCACTTGACTCAAAGGGGCAAGGGCTGCTTTCTAGTGAAAGTAAAGATTCAGGAGAAAAGTAGGTTTCATACGATATGAGAGAGTATTTGTTGTGCTGATGAATTTGTGGTTAATTGTGAGTGATGTTGTTTATGACTATAAGGGGGGAATGTTAATGTGTACCCTTGGGTAGGGTTGATAGATAGAGAGACATCCCTCATTAAAGTAATTAGACCTGCAGAAGAGGTTCCCCAGGCCCATGAATAGATTTGCACACTATGTCTACGCCACACACACCAAACTGCATACTTTCACACCCAGGACTACCTCCATGTATACTGTGATCTACTTAGTAGGTATTAATCACAATTTCATTGAGTTTTTATTTAAACCACAGAGAAAAGGCAGAAAAACTGGAAAAAATAAAATTGCTTTTGCTTGCCGTGTACCCTGAAATAAGATAAATGTTAGCCTGTACTCTATACATGTTTGTAATGTTTACTAGATTTAACAAGTCATTTGGAATAACGCAAAAATTATGAACAATTATGTCAATGGTTAAAAATATTATTTATAAATGTTAATGGAATGCATGAAATACACTTAGTACGTTCAGTACATGGGTGTAAGATGGTGAAAATAAAATGAAAATCAGTAACCTGGACAGGACTAAACAACTGTTTATGCTTTGGTTATTTATATTTTCTCCTGGCTGGTTGTTCTAAAGTAAAGGTGAAGGATATTGGTCAGAGAACATAGAAATTGCTGAAGGTTGTCAGTGATTCATTGTCAGGCACAATGGAAAATCATGATTAAAACCTACTCACATTAAAATATCAGAACCTGCATATTTATATAAAAAAAAGTGGCAACTCAAAATTGATATGGTGATATTAGCAATTAGCACTCTTAAGGCCCTGCACTTCCATCCAACCTTCACATCTCTCCCCACAGGCGGTGGATCCAAGTGGAGGTCTCTTCTTGTGGCTTTTTAAGCCTGGTCCAGAACAAGCCCTGGGAGCCAAGGCATGGCTCCCAGCCACTTGCCAGTAAGCTCCTCCACAGGTACTGGCTTTAGGATGGTTACCTTATTCTTGGTGAGGCATTCTATTTTATGAGGTCTTCACTCCTCCTGGATGAGCATGTAGCGACAGTGGACAGTTGCTGGCATTGACTTTGCAGCAATCCCTCATATTGAGCATGCACGTAGCAACAACCTCCCTTTTAACAGGAAGA